ATCCGGTAAAACAATTGTTTTAATTTTTATACTTTTACTTGATTCATTTGATAAGTCTGCAGAAAATGGTAGAGGGTTCAACATTCCATAAATATTATTAATAATGTTTGCTCCACAAGTTTTACAGGTGGAAATCTTATCAAGTGATTTAAGAATATTGATGCTTATTAATGACGAACTGCTTGATTTTGTTTCAGACAACTCAGTTAGCAGATATTCACAAAGTTCGTTTTTTTTATCAAAATACTTTTCAGCATCAGCTTTTTCGATGTATCGTTCGATGCAAAAGTTGAATAAATCAGTTACACTCTGACAAGGTAAAAATTTAAGTAAATATACTAAACTTTGCAGTGTTTTCAACTTTTGAATATCGACAATGTTCAAAATACCCATTAAGACCGTAACCAGTTCTTGAACAATTTTATCTAAATTAACGCGTGCTCGACATAATATAAGTTTTTCAATAACTAATTGAACAATGTCGTCTATATTTGATTGATCGATTGTGCTTAATATTAATGATAATAATCGAATAACTTGATTTTCTTGAAGTGTTTTTGCGGAATTTAGAAGTTTTATTATTAACTCATGAGAAAAACATGTAACTGTGGAAAGAAGCGAACAAATTATTTCTACTAAAGAATCCGTAATGACGTTTTCAGAATAGATGTGTAATAAACCTTGTAGCGCATTGACAACTTTGAGTTTAGAATTTTCTGATAAATCAAAAAGCATTAATAACTTAGTGCATTCGTAAATTACACTAGGAAACATGTTCGACATACACATCTCGATCGTTATGTCAACGGTATCAGCGACGTTGAATGTTCTCATGAAATTGTCATTATTTTTAATTTTTGTCAGACTTTCGTCAGAACTATTAAGTTTACCGTTGTTATTTTTGCTTCTAATGTTATCTCTCGCGGAGAAAATCATAAATGATTCTTGTAAAAGTTTGATTTGGCTCAAGGAAAAAAACTCATTTTTCGAATGTTCAAACGTTTCTCTGGTCAAAAATTGTATGTAAGCTTGAGCGTGATCGAGTTGAAAAAACACTTTCAATGCGGCGGCTCTGACTTCCCAAGACGAGTCACAATTAATACAAATAAGAAGTTTCGATAAAATTTCATCTTCAAAGTCTAATAATTCTGGGGAACTGTGCATTGTACTAATTAGTTCACACAAATTTTTTCTCACGTAAGAATAAGAATCATCAAATAGTTCAATTACCAAGGGCCACAAATTTTTCAGCAACTTCTCATTATCCAAGTTGGATAAACACCGCAAGATAGAACCTCTACAGTATTCATTGGGACTTGTAAGTTCACTTCTGATCAGTTGTTCGAGCAACAGCAAGTATTCATCGTTGAATGAATTAATTACGTTAATTAAGTAAAGATTTAAAAGTTTTTTCAATCTGTTGTCATTCTGGCCGACAATGTATTTGATTACATACATGAAATAACAATCATTTACTCCATAACTACTCAGAGAGCACAAAACATTTTCTAAACCTTTTTTTTTATCTGAAATTTCACTCGATTCGAGTAGTTTATTATTTTGATATTGCGAAGATTGATTTTCCGGGCATATTAGCTTGATAATAGGTTCAGACATTTAAAAACAAAAATTAAGACAAAACCGACTTATAAAGTCATCAAGGCAATAATAGTAAATTTTACGATCAATTTTTTGTATGTTTGTATTTATTATTTTAGATATTAGATGGTTTAAAAAAAAAAATATTCAAATTATTTTTACATAATTTCGTGTTTTTCAATCATGAACTATTAAATATGTGTTTGTCTAACTGAATAATTATGTGTGTACATATTCTTAAATAACAGCAAAGCTTCTTGTCACATAAGTCTAAATGAATTTATATTTAGAAGTAAATGAACGGTTAAAGCCTTTTCTTTTAGTTTGGCATAGTATTACATACAAAGAAATTTCGTTATTATTGTTGATATTAATGATTACCATTTATGCTTTATTTATGCGTGGTTTATTAATCGATAGCGGAAACTATACCAAATACGATAACGTTGTTAATCATTATTTATCAGATGCAAACTATTTCGAAACACAATATAAATACAATAGCATATGAATGATTAGTTCATGCTATATTGTTGCAAGGTTCGTTCAGAAGCTGAACCATACTTGTTTTTCTTATCACTTTTCATTGCATATGAGGCACTGATTTTTTGATTGCCAATAAAAGAATTGTTAAATTTTTCTATTGCATTGTCTGCTTCAGCCAACGATAAATATGAAACAAGAGCACTTATTGTGTTTTTATCTTTTTTGCTACTTGGGAACAATTTAACTGAAGTTACACAACCGACAGAACTGCACATACTATAAATTTGCTGTTCTGTTGTTGAAGAAATTAAATTGCCAATATGAATTACAGCGACGTCTTTTCTTCCTGATACAGAAGTTCCCATCATTTTTACCTTTATTGGATGGCCATAAAGTGTTACAGTTGATAATATTTTAACCGCGTAAGAAGCGATTACTTCAGTTTCAAACTCAACGAAAGCGTAACCACTGTGTTGCCCAGTTATTTTGTCTTTCTTGAGAATGACAGCTTTAACAGGTCCAGCTTGAACACAAAGCTCCCACAATAATGAATCCGTTACTTGTTGATGCAGTCCACTTATACAAAGAGTGGCATTAGGATTTCTGTTTAGTTGAAGAATTTGGTCCATTAATATTTTTTAATTATTTTAAAACTATCTATGGCAAAATTTAATTAACAACTAGCAAAATGATAATGATTAATACCTGAACACTGCCATTAATGTTTGATATAAAGGTTCTGGGATTTACCATTGCAAATCATTGTTTTCAGCGCTTAAATCTTAAGTTGTTGAGCGATTACGTTAGAAATTTACAACATTATATCAACGAGGTTAAAACTCTTCCTGGTTATACTTTAGCTAATGAAGTTGAAGTTTTTATTAATTCTTCAGATTATTTCAATGATTTACTTAACTCCATTTCAACCGCAAAAAAACGTGTTTGGATCGAATCTTTTATTATGGATGCATCGAATGTTGCTCACATATTGGCTAAATACTTAATCGATGCTAAAAAGCGTGGAGTTGAAGTTAAAGTTTGCGTTGATGGATTGGGGAAATATTATTCAAATAGAGCATTCTTCAAATTGTTAGTCGATAATAACATTGCAGTCAGGTTTTGGAATCCTTGCTTTAAAAACAGGGTCGGTCCTTTATTCTATCGAAATCATCGAAAGCTTGTTTTATGTGATGACTCAGCTTATGTAAGTTCCGCTAATTTTGACAAACGATCAATAAAATTGCCTAAAGAGCTTGCATTCGAGTTTGCTGATGAGTGGATTGGTCTTAATTCACCATCTAGTCTCAAAGCGAAATTTTTGAATTTTATTTTTAATTTCTTCCCAAGTCAACGGGCAAACGATATAAATCATTCCGTCAAAGTAAATGGACGAAAATTCTGTACAGCAATTCGAAACGAAATGTTAATTACATTTAACCAATCAGTCGCGCATAAAAATTCTAACAAAAATCGATTAAACGTGTCAAAAACAATTCCTGATCTTACAACGTCCTTGGTACGAATACCTAAAAATCGGGATAAATACTGTTTTAAAAACGTCGAAATAGCTTTATTACTTTCTAAAGGGTTGATTGAAAAACCATCAGTCTATTTCTCGACTATGAAATCAATAATGTTAAAAGCAAAACGTAATATTTTAATAGCTTCGAGTTATTTTCATCCACCAAAAAATTTGATTATTGCTTTAGAACGAAAGAGTAAAGAGAACACCAAAATTGAAATTTTTCTGTCGCGCAAGTCAGATGTTCCATTGGACACATTTGCTACAAATTATTATTTAAGGCGGTTGAAGCCGCTTTCAAATATACAGTTGTATGGAATTTCAAGTCGGCATGTACATTGCAAAACAATTATTAGTGATAATGAAAGAGTTGTTTTAGGATCTCATAATATCGACTATTTAAGTTCTTATACCAATTGTGAAGCTGGTGTTCTAATTAACGATGCAAGAATAGCTAAAACACTTACTAGTTCAATTCGATCAAATAATCACTGTCCTATTAATATTAACAATACTTTGAAGGACAAATTCCTCGAAAAATTAGCCCATAGTATTATTATTAATAATACTAGAAAAAAGTATTTGAATTTAAAAGATATTGGTCGAATTTGGTTTTCCAAAAAAGATAAATTAGCTAGTTTTAAAAAGAGAAAAAATGATGTTTTTCAGACTTCTGGAATCTTTAGAATTTGAATATTTTCTTCTTCCATATAGCCAACGTTTAAGTCTGAAATTTCTATATCTTTGTTGAAGCATATTTCTCCATAATAGTTATTTAACTACGAAGTTGTGAAATGTGAAACTTACTATTTGATGTTGATCCACAGTTAAGTTACAGTACCACATTGCAAATTTCTCTAATGTTTTGCTGGGCTTTGCTTGGTATAATGTACAAGTCAAATTTTTTTTTTTACATAAAAAACTGATAAACGGTAATGCTTTCGCTACTGTGACATCATCTAGATATCTTAGATTTAACGTAGCCCTCTTGTTTTGAACAAATTGATTTCGTATTTCGTATTCGAACCGACCTCTTGCTCGTGCTCTTCTTTCATCTAGTGAGCAATAAGGCATACCAACAGCTAAAATACTGGCGTATTCATTTTTGCTTAGAACATTCATATAAATAAGTTAGTTTGATAAGTTCTATCCCTTTTATTCAATATTAATACGCTGCAATATTATTTTTCATTAAAATTTAAAAGTAGTTTATATTTGAACGCAGTTTTAAAAAAGAAAACCTATTTAAAGACATCGAAAAAATAGTGAAAGTAGTTCAATTTGGCTTGTGTGCAGGTGAACGCAAAAAGTGTACAATTTTATCATTATTAAGAAAAGTTAAAATCAAACAAGTCTGATAGCTAAGTTAATTAAGTTAATTATGTATTAAACTATGTCTTCATTATGGAATGAAATAGTTGCTATCTTTTTAAAACGTAATGATGAAAGCCATCATGACGTAAAAGAATACGTAGATGGACCTTTATTAATTGATCCACAAGAGTTTATGATCCTGTTAGCTACCGCTGACGATAATCTAGATCTGGATGTTCATTTGGGAAAACCTGGTAGTGAATTGGAAACGGCTGAGCTGAATTTGTCTGACGTTCTAAAGGGTAAAAATAATTTTTTAAATAAGCTAGATTATGAAAATAATGTGTTGAGCGAACATGAAACAGTTTTTAGTAATTCAAATCACACGAGGTTCAAATTTGTTTTTAAAAGTGACCACAAAAAAAAATATTTTACATTATTAAAGTATTCACAAAGTACTAATAAAAAAGTAAATGAAAGCACTATAATAAGAAGTAATACATGTGTAGATTCATTTAATAATCACAACAACGTTAGAAGACACAATACAGAAAAAATAAATACCATCAAACTGATCCCCTATTCAAGTATTTTGGGCGTTCAATGCAAATCTAATTATATAAATCAGTTAGATTACTGGGGTAGCAATGAAGAAATTAATACACGTCTTGTGACAACTAGATATTTATTGGAGCAAATTCATCAAAAAAAATTCAGTGCTGAGCTAAAGACAATTTTATTGCAAAATTACCATTCGAGATTAAAACGTTTTGGACAAGAAATAATTTTGTTGTGGAAGTCGTTTTACAAAAGATTTAATAATCAAGTACGAGACGATCAAACTACTTTAATAACTCTTCCCATGCCTTTTATGGTACCTGGAGGAAGATTTATTGAAAACTACTATTGGGATACGTATTGGATTTGTTTAGGATTATTAGCCACTGGAAAACCTGAAATAGTTAAAGATACATTAATTAACTTTTTTTATTTAGTAGAAAGATGTGGATTTATTCCAAACGGTACTCGTATGTATTATCAAGATAGAAGTCAGCCACCAATACTTTCTAGTTTACTACGGGCTTATTTTTACGAAACTCATGATTTAGATTTTATTGCGGAACATGTAAAAGATCTAGAGAAAGAATACAATTTTTGGATGAATCAACAATTTAAGCATTGTATTACTGTAACGGACGATGAAGGAAAATCACACACATTAAACAGGTATTATTCATCAGATACTGAACCTAGACCAGAAAGTTATAGAATGGACTATGAAGTAGGTAAGGTTTTCGTAGCAATAAACCGTAGCACTGATGATGAGCTCCGTGAATTATTTAGAAACATTCACGCAGGGGCTGAAAGTGGCTGGGATTTCAGCGCACGGTGGCTCCGTCCTGCAGTCGAGGTCGGTAATACTTCTTATCTTACGTCTGCTCGATATACTGATCAACAAATTTCGAATTTATGTTTAATTGATATCGACACTATAAACATTATTCCATGCGACTTAAACGCTCTGCTTTATTTAGAAGAATGCGATTTAGCTTTCTTTTATTCACTCTTGGGTATGGAAAATTTGACAAAAGAGTATCTGAGTTTGGCTCAGAAAAGGAAACAAGCAATGTATAAATTCAATTGGGATGCGAAAAATAAAATCTGGGTGGACTACGATATGAAGAATAATTGTTTTTCAAAAGTACTTAGCGCTGCTTCTTTTGTACCTCTATGGGCTGGGTTGAACGATGTTATGTGCGATGGGGACAGAATAGAGCTTTATAAAAGTTTGGAGCTCTTAATAAGACCATATGGGGTTGTTTGTACTACTATCCGAGCTGGATTACAATGGGATACTCCCAACGTCTGGGCTCCATGCACACACATAGCGGTCGATTATTTATGTGGAGGACGATTTTGGAATTATGAAAAACCTTTAGATAAAACTCAAGAGTCTACAAAAATAGGCATTAACATTGCTTCTCGATTTATAAATACCGCCCTATTTAGATATGAAGTTACAGGATGCTTGAGCGAAAAGTATCACTGCTCAATACTCGGGAAGAGTGGGCAAGATGGAGAATATGTAACGCAAGAAGGATTCGGCTGGACAAACGGTGCGATACTTGATTTTATGTATAAATTTGACAAAGATATATATCCTTACGGTTTGTTTATTATGGCCGAGGACCTTGTATAAATTGAAAATTCAATAAGTTGATTCTAAAAATATAAACTAATAAAGATGTATAAAATCTTATGCGACTACTCTTAATCTAAATAATAATTTTCCTTCAGTTTCGTTTAGCTTACTTAATACTTTCTGGCTAGACATATCCTATTAAAAGATTCAAAGCGACATATTGACTTACAAATTTATTTTTTCGATTTATTAAAGGCTTATCATGAAATGGATCGTTAGATTTAGATTGTATCTGTCTACACATGAAATTTCATCGTTATAAAAAATTGAACTATAACTAGAATAATTATACTTACTTCGGATAACTGATTATCGATAGATCTGGGTCTTTTGATAAAATTAAATAAATCGTGTTCATTAATATTATATACATTGACCCTAAAGACATACTAAAGTAATAGATGTGTAACACACGTGTTCGAAATATTTCCTTCGTTAATCAATCTACAATTCAAACAAATTATTGTTAATTCTATAAAAAATTTAGCTTATGTCAAACTTAAAAGTTTGTAATATTATATTAGGGAATTCAAGATTATTTGATTGTGGAGTTTTAGGTAGTGGTTATTCTGGTGAAGTAAAACGCGTTGAAGATGAGAATGGAGGCTCTTATGCTCTAAAAGTATCAAACGATAAAGGAATTCATTTCTCTTTAACAGATGGATCGGGTTGTTCCAAAAACACCTTGATTTTACCAGAAGCAGCCGAGTTCGAGCGACTCCGAAAGTTGTATCGCGCCGGAATCCCTGTTCCGCGTCCTTATGCGTTTCAAATATATTCAAACGCCGCTGGAATAGGTAATACCGTAATGCTCATGGATCTCGTAAAAGGACAAACGTTAAAAGACTGGTTAAGCTCTCAAGAAGGTGGAATACAAGATTTGGTATCTGGCCGAACAATACATCCTGTCCGAACAGTGAGTGAAGCGATAGCTCGTATCAACGTGGCATTGACACTTTTAGAAAGCCTACTAAAACTTCGGAAAATCGCATTTTTCGCTGATTTCAAACCTCGCAATATAATGATAAAGGAACAACACAGTTCTTTGGATCGCATATTTTCATCGCACTTGGTTGATGTCGGCGGAACTGTGTTGTATCAAGATATTAGTACAAATGCGTACTTCAATAGAGTAGAATCTGATCAGGAGTCACAATCAGTCGCATATTTTCATGCGCTAAAAGATCGTTATTTGATAGAAACAACATGTTCTTATATTTCTCCTGAATTAGCTCTTTTAATTTCAGAATACGATTTTTGGAGAGCAAAATTGAAGAGTCACTATTACCGAACACTAAATGAATCTAGAGTATCCGCAGAACAAAGCAACGCTGCGGGCAAAGTGTTTTATTCTGCTAATGAGAAAAATGAAAAATCAACAAGAATTAATAATCTAGATACTTGTATATTTTACAACTATTTGCAAATTAGAAGAAATTTCAAGATGAGAGGCATTCTTAAGGCGATTCATAGTTTAAAGGAATTAAATATGGTTGAAAACGAATCGGGCTATAACAATTATTCCGTACAAAATCAAAATTTGTACGTACCCCCATCTCAAAATGATTATGTCAGAATTTCAGAAAAATCAAATGTTTTCACAATGGGTTTAATATTGACTGAACTTTTCGGAGGCAAGAGAACAGGTTTAACATCACTTTCAAGACTTAGAGTCGTCAACAACTTTTTCCTTAATGAAGTCCGTAATTCGGAATTTCGCATGGTTTTAGAATGGGAGAATTCTAACCAATATTTGATCGATAAAAACGTGTCAAATACCAGTTCAATTGTTCGAGTACATTCGGTCAACTTTTCCAAATTTACAAATACTTACGATGAGCAGCACTTGAGTAGTGCTACGACCGCAGATTCTTCGAGCTTTTCGTTCGACGATTCTAGCGACAATATGTACGAAAACAATTCAGAAACTCCTGTAGCGTCTTACATTCACGCGAACAGTTTTTTCAACTTGTACAGAACCCACTCCTATCCAAAAGAGGGTATCCTTAGTGTTCCTGATAATAAGAGTGATCTTTCGAATGCTACTAGTATTCAGCAATTTGTCTTGGAAATTCTAGACAGCACTCTTAGACAAGATGCTTCAGCACGTCCTAATTTAAACCAACTGTACGCGGCTCTTTATGACTTAAAAAAACTTGTTTATAAGTCACTTTATTAAGTGTATTTTAAATTTCCAAGAAAAATTCATTGAAAGATTAACTATTTCAGCAATGAAGAATATTTAGTTTAGCATTAGATTAAAGAAAACGGCGTGTCACTTAAACAACTGCCTTTTTCTTTACCATTTCCATGTCAAAATAGACGTATCTTAAATTCTCAGTGAGTCGGCAAATCGAACATACTCAAATAGTAGGAGCGCTAGGGTCAACTTTGTTTGAGGAGAACCCAAAAATAATTTATTCAATCATGAGATCGCTTATGAAACAATTCTTTGTTATAATCAATTTGGTTATGTATATTTATGAAAATAAATCATAATATGCCAATGTACTAGAAATTCGCAGTCTAAACTTATGTAGAAACGTGGATACATTTTTTTAATTAATAATTATTGTATGATTTATTTTTATTATAGTTATAATTGAGCGATCGTACGAATTTTTCGTGTGTAATTATAAAATCAGTTGAAAAAAATGAATTTACAAGAGAAGATTGACGAGTATTTGAAATTTGAATGCGATGAAGATTTCATCAAAGAACTACACAATGCAGGTGGGCAGGAAATAGTTGATGCGTTTTCAAAGCGCATCAAATTCGGAACTGCGGGTCTTCGGGCTCGCATGAGTTTCGGAATAAAGTATATGTCATGTGGAAGCGTTTGGCGCGCGAGTCAGGGGCTCTGTGCTTACTACTTGAAGTCGTTGCCAAAAGACGAAGTGACAAAAACCTGTGTGATTATCGGATACGATGCTCGTTATAAAAGTAGGTATTTCGCAGCGATAACCGCGGCGGTTTTTTTGTCTAAGGGACTGAAGGTTCATATGCATGACAAAGAAACATTCACGCCGTTGAATCCTTTCTGTGTGGTTAAGTACAAAGCATTGTGTGGTGTTCAGATAACAGCTTCGCATAACCCTAAAATGGACAATGGATATAAAGTGTATGGCCCGTTAGGATCACAGATTTTGAGCCCGGTTGACGTAGAAGTGGAACAAGAGATTGAAAGCCAGTCAGTCGCATGGGAAGGTGTGAACGAGATAATCGACCACGAAAATCGCTGGATCAACTTTAATCATCCACTCGTCGCCAACCTCATCGACAGTTATGAAGAAGACTGGAATGATTACTGCGACGCAGTCACTGAAAAGATGAACTTAGGTTCATTCGCGGACGTGAAATTAAAGATTGGTTACAGTGCAATGCACGGAGTCGGTTACCGCCACGTGAAAGAGTTGTTAGATAAGCTCGATTATCCAAAATTGAGCTTTTTTTCAGTTCCAGAACAGCAAAATCCAGATCCTGAATTTCCGACTGTCAAGTTCCCCAACCCAGAAGAAGCAGGAGCTACCGATATGTCGTTAAAATACGCAGAGCAAAACAATTGTAATTTGACGTTTTTGAATGACCCCGACGCCGACAGACTGCTGTGCATAGAATACCAGCCAAAAACAAACAGCTATTACCAGTTTACCGGCGATGAATTGGGCGTGTTGCTGTGTCACTTCGCGTATGAAATACATAGCAAACATGGTAAAATGGCAATGGCACGTTCAGCTGTCTGTTGTGGTTTCATGGACACTTTCGTAAAGCATTCTGAAGGAAAAGTCGCCCAAGTTGAGTGTTTAACAGGTTTCAAGTGGTTAGCGACCAACTTACTCAGAGAGTATGAGACATATGGTCGTTACCCAGCTTATGGTTACGAAGAAGCCCTTGGATATGCTTTGTGTGTAGACATCGTGCCTGATAAGGATGGTGTCAGCGCGATGATGGGTACAATTAAGCTTGCCTCTCGTCTACACGAACTGGGTTTAACTTTGAAAGATCATTTGGAACAACTCATGGAGAACTACAAGTACTATTTCGTGACTAAGAATGGCTACTACATCATAGCGAACACCAATGTGTTGGGTCAGGCGATCAAAAAGTTTAGAAACAACAATTACGAGCTTGGAATTCCTGACTTCAAAGTTTCCCGAGTAGTTGACATGGCTATATTCTACGACTCAAGCAAACCTAACAACAAGCCAGACCTGCCAAACACAGGCGAAGACATGTTGATGTTGACATTCGAAAATGGCTTTCACGTTACTTACCGTAACAGTGGAACTGAGCCGAAACTAAAGTACTACAGTGAAATGGTGAGCGATATTTCTCAAGACGAAGCGAGAGCTAACATATCGAACTATTTGCAAATAGTGTCTGACGCCTTGTTTGCAGGTTTCGAGTTAAATTAACGCGCTCACCGGGTTTAATTCAAAAGGAAAATTTGGTCAGATGTGTTGGTGATTGTCATTAATTACGTAAATGCATTTCAAATAGATGGCAAAAAGTGGGTCCGAAGTAGGCTCCGTCTAATTTTTTAAATATATAAACATCACTTGTGTATATTTCTCTGCAATTTATACAATATCCATATGTAGCCGACTTGTACGGCAAATTAGACTCCCCGTACGGTAGAATGTTTATAGCACATTTAGGGCAGTGACCGAAAATGCCTGTTTTGAAAAGAGCTTCCATTTTGGCAAGTCCAGCGGGGGTGAGAATATAGCGTGCGTGAATAAGTCCGTAGAGTTCTTTGGAGGCGACGTCGTGTTCTTTGAGGAGACGGCTGGAACTGCCGTAGTTCCCGGCGCTTTTGCCTAGGATAATATTGAGGGCCTGTCTGTAATGGGGAATGGTTTGTGAGAGCCCATACAGGTTGAATTCATCGGCGATGTATTTGGGATCAACGCGAATGAAACACTTGTAAGTGTTGCAGAAGTCTTCTATCCACGAGGTGTTCTAAAAGAAAATGGGAGCGTTGTTTGACTTACTTCTGATTTAGATTCTGCGTTTGAAAAAATACTAACCATAATTAAACAAATAATGAGTAATGATTAAACTTAGGCAGGTAATATTCTAGGTTCTGTAATTCCGCAAGTGTTCGCGCTGAAAATAAATTAAAATATTATTCAAGTCGAATGGCGGGCACAATTAAGTGTCTGCGATAAAATGGCCAAGACGGAACGAGAAATACCGTAGCGATGAGAAAAACGGCGGTGTTGAAGTAAATCATGGCATAAAACTCGCGATACACGATGCCAACGAGGATGCCGCCGACAGTCGCGACGATAGTAAAGAAATTAAGGATTTTCGCGAACAATTTTTTGCCCTGATAGTCTATTTCATTTTGTTTAAGATCGTCGTAGATGGCTCGTATTTTATGCATAGTGGACAACAAAGGCTATCGCGAGAAAAGACTGGAATTATATATGGGAACTATAAAAAAATTAAATAGTTATTTATTCGATTTTCCAGCAAGATCTGGGCACATATAGACTGAAAAATTAAAATCATAAGTGGATACGTATATATATATCGACAAGTAAGCTTAGTTGATGACTACAGTTCCGGATGCGATGGCAGTTTCAATGCGGGTTTTAACTTCCGAGTCTTCTAGCAGATTGTTGACATTAAGGTTCTCCAAGTTGGACACAAAGTGAGTAATGCTTTCAGTTGTGGAGGTCTTGGTTCCGTCGGTGTAAGACATGAATTCCTTGCGGAGTTCGTTGATGTTGGCGAACTCTTCGCTGGAAAGAAGTTCAGCAGGGACAGGAACTTCAATGAAACGAGGAAGGTAGATTTCGTATTCGTGGTTTTCGTCTTGGTTGGACCCGTCTTGGTGTTTCATTTCGACCTCGCAGCTGATTTCGGCTTCGACAGGGTCTGGGATGTAACGATCGATTTTGAACGGAACGTGTTTCGTGACGACTCTGGGGACGGGTCTGCTCTTATAAAGCGGCAGTCGGATGTCCTGAACGACTTCTTCAATGACGACGCGAGGGACTTCGTTGACAACCTCGATTGGCACGTCAACGTATTCGATTTCAGGTACCTCGATGAGTTTGTTTACATATTGGGTTTCTGGAACTTCGACAATCGCCTGAAACTCGGTCTGGATTGGTTCTAATTGAACAGAATCGAGAATCAAAGCGTCGCATTCGGAGTCCATGCAAGTTGTCTCGCAAACAACACCCTCTTGATTTTTCTTTTCGCATTCAGCGGAGTCTTCGAACTTCATAGTGTCAGAATGTTAAATTTTATTTTACACAGTAATTTATTTCGTAAGAACCTTTTATTTACTTAGTAAAAATTGACACACAATTATTACTCACTAAAATATTTTGAAACAAAATATGTAATCTTTTGGAAAAGATTTTTATAAAATAAAAAAAATTTTAGAAAGAAAAAAGTTACGCATCACCTGAATCGAACATTTGCTTAACAAGAGACTTCATGTTAAAAGATGTCTGGTTTTGCGCGGATACGGATTTTTTATTGTTTTGAGTCGATACGTTGTGTAACGCATTCAAAGACAGTGCAGAGTGATTAACGTTTAAATGTTCATTTTCCGTGCATATGTTGTTGCGTGTGTTTAATAGTTCGCCAACTACTAAGGACCACAATGAGTTAAGACGTTGATCAACCTTGGGTTTGGCAAAGTACCGCCACCAGTGGCTACGTTCTACAATTTTGTTGTAGACAGAGACAATGGTAGAAAAAATCGAATTTATGTCTTTTTTATATGTTTGTTGCTTCGCCATTAAGTTTTTTTCTTTTTCTGATATTGCGGATTTTAATTTTTCTTCTTGTTCTTCAAGTCGTTGTAGTTCCTTGGTACGCGACTCGGAGATTCTGTTGATGTTATTGTTGATATTCGTAATAGATAAATTCAACGTGGAGACTTCGTTGTTAATTTCGGATTTAGCGGCGTTGAAGTTGCTGAATGTCGATTGCACTTGTTCGTTCAGCTCCGCACATTGTTTTTCTTTTTGCGAGAACTGAGCTTCCATGTTTGCGATTTTGCGATCTATCTCGTTGTGTAGCGAGTTGAGCCTTTGCGAGTCCATTGTGATGAAATTTTTAAAAGCTTTGATATCTGGGTAGAGCGTGGTCTGAATGGAAAGTTTGTCGCTGTTCGAAATCAGAAACTTGTTGTTGAAAAATTTTTCAACATGCGGGTTTTGCAACTCCATTGAAGTGGAAAACAATTGACGATAAGAAAGGTACACATCGTTGAGTCTCGTCTTCAAAGTTTCAATCTCCTTGGTTTGGTAAGAAAGCTGATTTTGAATACCCAATGATGATTCAGACACTTGTTTAATGTTGGCTTCAAGCTCGCGTAGTTTGTTGGAAAGTGTTTCGAAGTGATTAAATAAGTTTTGTTTTCGCGTAGCTTCTACCTGGATCTCTTTCCATTGGTTGTTGTAACTCGACAGTTCGTTGTCCAACTGTTTTTTATCAACTTCTAAACCTTCAATTTCAGTTTTTACTTGATTAATGTTCTCATTAATGCTCGCGATGGCTGCTTCAGAGTTCATGATGTCTTCCTTAATTTTTAGGATTTTTTTTTCCAAGTCAGCATATTGCTGGTTCAACGCTTCGAGTTGCTGTTTTAACTCCGTGCAGTCGACAGTGCTAGCTTTTTCGAGCTCTTTTGCTTCTCGAGATACGTAGTCAAAAAAATTGGATTTGTAAAAGTTGAGAAAGTATTCACAAAACGTGAACACCGCTTTTTTTTCTTTGTCGTACAAATTAGGATTGTCCTTGGTGCGTAAAAAACGAAACAGAATTCCTAGAATAAACAAATAATCGTGTTCAAATATAGTAGCATCTTGACTAATGTAACGTGAAGAGATCTCGGGATCGAATACACACTTGTCTTGGCCGTTAAGAAACTCAACTACGCTATTTAAAATCAATTTTTCCGAAGTTTTTTCTATTTGCACAGTTTCTTTACAAATTCGGTTGAGTTCTTGCTGAGCTACACTAGAAAATACAAATGTTAAAATTTCTCTAACAATTCGGAACAGTTCGCTAACCCAAATAACGGCTAGTTTCAAATTATTGCTGTTGGAAGATTGAATCGATTGTAGTGGTCCCGGGTAGGAAAGAAGTTGCAAAAAGGAGCTTATTTCACTGTCAGAGTTAAAGGAAAACCCGATGTACTCTATTATATAAAACATACATTGTTTACACTTGTTGTAATCGTTCAAACTTTCATTAGTTACTTCGTTGTAACCAAGTTTTTGAATTAAACTAAAAAATTTCGAGAATAAAACACATACCTGGTAGTTTTGGACGCTAATCTATCATTACTTTCTGTATTGTTGTTCATTATTGCGTCTTGTCTTTATTTAGTAGGCCATCTCATATATGTGCGTTAAATATAAATTGTTCTCAGCAGACAAATTAAGCGAATAACTTAATTAAATTTAAATTGTCTAAATTTTTTTTGCAATGAAATTAAATCTTGTTGGTATGCTCCTTGATTTATAACAAAAAAATTTTTTATCAACGAATAAATTCTTTTCTTTAATTGACCAATAAATTTTAGTTTAGTTTTCTGGGAAAACAACCTAATGGTGTTAATATCATAAGATCATACCACTAGAAAATCACAAAATATTATTTCCCAAATCAGGATTTGTTGATCATATTGTAGTAGTTCATAAATGATCATTTTTGACTTAGAAAAAGATGTAAAAAACATAAACGATGTTTTTTATCTTAGATCGAAATTGTCCCCAGATGACGTTGCATACAACTATTTGAATCAAAAAATAACTTTCAAAAAAGTTTACGAAAATGCAAAACTCTTAGCCGCGTATTTGCAAAGCGAAGGCTGCGTAAAAGGCGACAAGATCGCCATAATATTACCAAATGTAATAGCTTACCCAATAGTAGTGATCGCTGTTTTTATGATAGGTGCGACTTGCGTCAATCTGAATCCGTTGTATTCAGAGAACGAATTAACTGAAATAATCAATGACTGTGCTCCGAAGATAATTTTTTGCTGGATTGATATGGTTTACAAACTTAAACTAGTTGATCATCTTGTGAAAAATGTGATTACAGTAATGCCAGGAGACTTTTTAGGCTTAAAAGGGAGCTTGATAAATTTTTTCTATCGAATTCACAGAATGAAACGAAAAAATGATGTCAAGTTTCAGCACGTTCGTCTCACCGATTGTATGAAAAAAGCGAACCGTTTGACTCCGGTTCAACTTGTAGAAGTGGATTTGTCCGATTTAGCTTTACTTCTGTACACCAGTGGAACAACAGGTGAGTGTAAGGGTGTTCCGCTCACTCACTGCAACCTTATCGCTGCTACGAGAGCCGCTTACACAGCGATCCTCGAGTTTCTAAAACACATACTAACTAAACAAGAAATCAGAACTTTAATGGGGCTCCCTTTTTACCACATCTTGGGTTTCTCATTCATTTTAATTAATTGTTACGTAATAGGTGCTGTCGGAATACTAATACCCGATCCGAGAAACATCAAATCGTTAATTAACACTGTAAATAAAACAAAGCCGGCCGTGTTTCCAGGTGTAAATACATTGTTCCAGAAGCTCTTGGCAAACGAAAACTTTAGAAAATTAGACTTTTCGTTCTGCCTTTGCGCAATCAGCGGTGGTATGGCATTGAACGACAAAGTTCGCAAAGATTGGAAACTTGTCACAAATACGGAAATTTTCGAAGGTTACGGAATGTCAGAAACAACGGGATTGATATCTTGTCAACGACCAATTCTCCACGAAGATAACGACAAATTCAGCTTGTCAATAGAAGAACAACAAATATCAAGCGTGGGGAAAATAATCCCTAACTGTAGCGTGAAGATAATTCCTATTCAAGACAAAATTGAATATACAAACAACGAAAATGCGCCAATCAGTTCGAAAGAGATTGGTGAAATCTGCGTTAGAGGACCCATTGTAACAAAAGAATACAGAACTAAATCTGACAAAAAAAATTATTACACCGAGGATGGCTACTTCAGAACAGGAGACATTGGGTATTTAAACGATGATATTTTGTATTTACAGGGAAGAATTAAAAATATCGTTATCATCAGTGGATTCAACGTTTATCCAGCAGAAATTGAAAAAGTTGTTCGAAATTGTCCAAAAGTAAACGACTGCGTAGTAATTGGAAAAACTGATAAAAATAACATTGAATATTTGTACATGTTAGTAGAAAAAGACATCGACGCAAATCTAACCGAGCAAGAAGTAAAGCAATATTGCGCTGATAACTTAGCACCCTATAAACGCCCTAAGGTCATTGAAATCACTGTTTCTCTGCCGAGAACTCCTATTGGTAAAGTATCGTTGAGCGATTTATAAATTTGATAACTTCATTTTTTTGCTGTTGTGGACGATTTATTCATATTTTTATATTTGTGCCGATCTTTACGAGACATTGTAATTTGGTTTCTACAGCCTTTTCCGCCTTCCCAGTGTGTAGTGACCTTAGCAGTAAAACTTGATCCGCAGTCGCATTCGGAAACGTGAGCTTTGTGAATTTTGCTACAGAAGCCGCAAATTATTTTTGAGGCGGAGCCTTCAGCGTTGTGATCGTTCGCATTGTCGTGGCAAATCGGACATGCATAAGGAATTTTGCAACAGTTCCAAACAAAATATTTAAAACTTTTTTTGAAGTGCGAACATGCGCCGTTATTGGGCAGTGGTTCTCCTTTGTTAAGCTGTATTTTTTTGGACTTTATTTTTTTTGCTTGAGTTTTCACTAATAAAGGATTTTTCGGTCTGACAAACGTAGGGTTGTTCACTTGGAAAACCATTGCTGCGTTGCAGGTGTGACAATTGACCTCTGTCTTATTGTTGATCAATACGGTGATGTGAACAGGCTTCGAACAAGATTCGCATAGTACGTGAAAAACGATTTGTGAGAAAATTACTGGGCAGGCGTTGCAATAGTAAAGATTCAAAATCTGTCTGTCTTGACTAGTGCAAAGTTTGTTGGCTGCGTAGCAGATACACTGTTGTTTGCAAGATGAGCATTCGAACTCTTTACTGATGGTCCCATAGTTCACGACATCGAAGGTTAAATGATGTTTGTTTGAAAGCTTGCATTTATTGCACACCAGAATCAAGTTGATTTCTTTGACTATGTACGAGTAACAGTTATACATTGAAACATCTGCTTCAAAAGTAAATCCATATTCTACAAAATTAAATTCAATTGCGGGTTTTACGGCTGTGGATTTCACAGGTGGTTTAGCTGGATGAACTTCTTCGATTGCCACATCGGAAGAACTAAAATCCCTTGAATCTTTTTGTTTTTGGTGACTCTGCCATAACTCAACGTATTTAAGGTAGGACTGCTTAGGCGACTTTGTTTTTACATATTCAGAAACTTTTCTCCATTTTACAATTGGGTCCTTAACAGCTTTATACCACAAAAGCGCCTTCGACAGCTGCAGCTTTTCGTCTTCGGTCCATACATCTGATTTGATACTAGAGTTTTGCTGATGTAAATCGACTAAGTACTCGTTCAACTCCCTTATAATGTAATAGAGAGGCATGTGGTAAAAGTGGCTCGAGTTTTGTTTGATACACTTTTTAAAAATTTCAAGCATAAGGCGGTATACGTTCAGGTTTGTGAAAAGCTTGTTGTCAGTGTTAAATTGCACATCGATAGATCGAATATGATTTTCTAAATTGGAACCGTGCGAAAATCCATCGTAATAGTAGATATCGGGAACTTTTATTTGTATTTCAAGAGATTCATCATCATCGTGTTCAAATTTTTTGACCCATTTAACTACTAAATTATTATTGTCAAACTGAATCTTAGAGTCAAAATGCTCCTTTAATAAAGCAAATTCAATAACAGAATTGTAAACATCACTTTTCGTTAGCTCGCTGTTGTCAGAAAAATTTTTCGTGATATCAGAAGAGTTTTTTTTGCTGTTCAAGTCTGCACGTGGAGTGCCTAGATTAGCATTATCAGGGGCTTGATCAATTGATTTAGAGCTTCCAAAAATCAAATCTGATGTTTCTATATCCGAATGTCTGTCAGAACAATTATTATTACATAACGGTGGTTCTGACAATTCAGATAGCATTAATAAATGGTTAAAAAGTTTATTTAAAAATTTTTATACGCACTATCAGAAAATTATATTTTAGAATTCTAAAAAAATTACCGAAATTGAAATTTCTGTGAATGTTAGATAATTGGAAGTATTGTTCATGCAAACCATATGCAGCGTTAGTTATTGGGGCCGGAAGTATTTTATCTGCTTATTCACTTCGCAAAAAATATGAAAAGCGAAAAAATATTCAAGAAGACGTTGATGTCAAAAAATGTGCAAGCCTATTGAATCCGTGCGTTTCAATCCGGAATTACTGTCAAAGTTTGAAAGGAATTAAGAAGAAATCATCCGAAATAGTTTTAAACAAGATATTTAACAACGAAAAATTACAAAAAAACCTGTCTCAGTTGCTTACGCAAGCCATAGAATCTGAAGACGTGTCGAACTCTGTGTCTGCAAAATTTGATGAATTGTTGACTTCAAATCAAACAAAGTCCATGCTGTTAAACCATCTAAAGTCGATTTGCACCGAATCAGAGTTGAAAACACAATTAATTAATTATCTAGACTCTATTGGAAATGACGAGTCTGTAAAGATCAGGTTTAAAAAATTGCTTTCTCAAACAATTTATAGCTCGTTACCTATTGTAAACAAGTTCGTCAAAACCAACAATAATTAAACCGCTCATCAGATTAAAATAAGATGGTCTTTAACAGGGAAATTCACCTTGAGTTCCTTGTTTGTGGGTTTGTGTTTAACTATGATCTCTTTGTCGTTTTGTGCAAAGGTTTGGATCATTGTGATAGTCCGTTTTTTTTCGGTCAGTTCATCGGTCTGGAACATATCTCCTACTAGTACTTGTTTTGATTCAGCATCGACCAAATGAATGTCTTTGAGGTCGAGTTTTTTCAGCTGTATGGTTTTATTGTTTGTCCAAGAGTTTAAGCTAAAGCATCGTAAACTCTTTTCATGCTTAGTTAAATACTTTTCAAGTATGAGAAGTGGATTGATGCCCAATGAGGGGTTAATGCAAAAGAGACTGCTAATAACTGCCATAGCCGATATCAAATCGTTTGCTGATAAATCCTTGCAAAAAGTAATTTTTTTAGTCAACTCTGGTTGTTCAATTAAATACCTAGCATAATTAAGCGATTGTATGTACTTGTTCAGCAAAATATTTGAAATGCTTTTGGAAACGTTCGACATACTAATTTCTTGTACGTATTGTTGCAGTATTTGATTCAAAATGTTCTCCAGCATTTTAATAATAACTGAGTTAAAAGACCCTGCACTCACGTAACTTAAGGCTAAAACAACACCTGGAACTAATAAACTAACGACGTATGGATGAATAATATGGTCAAATATCGATTTTTTCGCTTTGGATGTCTGGGCGTAAGTAGAACTAAACTCGTTTAATATCGATGAGCTTTCAAAACAACTGAACTTATTATACTTGAAGATTTGCTCGGGGGGTTCTGAGTTCGGCGAACTGTTTAGGCCGGGCGCATTTTCTTGGTTAATTAAAATTTCGTATAAAGTCATGTTGGCTAAATCAGGAGTGTTCAATACAAACAACTTATCAATTGAAATATTATTTAATAAGTAATTCATAAAGTAATGAAAAGTCTTTATCAGTTGCTCGTTGTGAAAACCGAAAGTCCAGATAGAAGCGCTAGTTAATACTACCATAGCAAAAATCACTGAGTATTGGAATTTATCCATTGGTAAATCTTCTAAGATTTCATTTTCGTCTGTTATTATGTTAACTTTGATTTGTAAATTTTTGTAAATATTATGCAACACAAACAAACTCCATGTAGGAAATATCTTTTTGATATTTACAAACCAATCGTCGAATTTGTCGAAGGACTCAAGTTTTTCACATGACATAATTATCATGAACGCGCGCTGATAAAATTTTTCGTATGATAAATTAAATAATGAATCCATATTGTTTTGATACGCGTTGTTATGTTTGAATAAGTTTAGTTTACGTAGTAAAACGAAATAACTAACAATCACGGGCTCTACTATATTCCAGCTGGTATTTTCTTTTCCAATTGCCAAACTAGACGAGGTCACAATGTTTTGCTCAACGTTCGACTGTTTTTTCACCAAGTAAGTTTCATATGTTTCGAATAACTTTGCAATAACTTTTTTGTCATATACTAGAAATAAAGAAGTACAATACAATAATGATTTTTGAATCAGACACTGCTCTGCATTTTTATACGCATGACGGAACCAAATAATGTCGTCAACAATAAATTCGTCTATATTGGAAGGAGCGTTAATAGCGGTATCTAAAAACCACGAATCTAGCGTACAATACTCTATATTGCTAATCATGTTCATAAATTCTTGAAATATATAATGCGACAGCATAATGGTCGTTTTGCTGTTTGATTCGCTTGATTGATCGTAAAATGAAGAACTAAAGCTCAGTCTAGCAAGCGAAAAAAATACGTTTGTATCGTTAACGTTAAAAGGCATCAACTCATTGAATTTTTTCACTAACTGAAGTAGGTATTCATCAGACGAAGTTAAAGGCTTTCTATTCTCGTTACCTGTAGAGCAAGAGTATATTAAATTTAATAAAAACGAGAAAATTGCTTCAGTTAAACTTTGACTAAACGGTATATTTGAAATCGCCATAATACAAGATGCAGATATTAGATTCATAGTTGAAGATTTGCAATATTGAATGCCATTGTAGTACCACAATTTATTTTGTTTGTGTTCTAAAATTGGATCAATACAGCTATAAATAATTTGGTCTGTTGTTGCCAAAATGACTAGCTTTTGCTCAGTTTGTTCGGAAATTGCAGAGATTGGGCTGATAATACCTGAAATAATTTCTAATATTTTGATAAAATCTAACTGGCTCTCGACTGAACTTAGAGCACCTGAAAGAAAGTATAAACATCTTTGTGAAAACCAAAGCGTATAAGCTATTTGCCTTCCACTTTGGTTTTGGTCATTGAGCGGCATAAACTGATATTCAGTCTCATTCATCGAACCACACAAAAAGTTTCGATCAATAGCATGAGTAAAATGGCTACTAAAAACCTCAATTAAATTTGTGTCCTTTGATATTTCGTTTTCAACAAGAATTTTGTTAAATATCTTGCCGTAGTAATAATCATACCATAATACAAGAGAGTTGTTAGCGCCTTTAAGTCCCCATGGAATTTCCTTTGAATATAAAAGATCGTATCTGGGGATTTTATTTAAGTAATTTGATTCGAGTAATATTAAACTCAGCATGTTAACAAAAAAATGATTTGATAACTTTAAATTAGTAAAATGTTTAGACAGAAGCCCTTCGGAGTTTTTTAGCAAATAGTTATTAACCAAAGCTATATTTTTTTTCGTTGGAGACAACTTCCAAAGATTGCTAGACAGCAATAAGTCTATTCTATTATTGAAGAACAATAATTTTTTATTATTGCAAGTTTTTAAAGTATTTGCAAAACCGCGTTTAGATTTTATGATTTCGTTGCAGTATTTCTGCTCGTACCACGTAGATAGCAGTTCTTCGTAAAATGCATTTCCAGTACAACTAATCAACTGTTGTACCATGCAGTTAATACCAAAATAAGTTCCATTGAGAAAAAACTCATCATAATCAACTATTGTTTTTCGATCACCACGCTGAATAATAAGAATTTCAAGTGACCATTTTTCACACCAAATTTGACATCTCTTATTTTGACAATAATAGCAAAGTATAGAACTATTTTGTTCTTTTCCAGGGTCGTCTTCCGTTTCAGATGTTTTGTCCATAGCTAGCTTATTGAGTTCATCAAAAAAATCGAACTTGTATCCAGCAATTAATAATTCAACCTGTTGATCTAGGGCCATTATTCGCTGAAATAATGTATCAGTATACCGATTCGATATTTTTTCGTTCATGAAATAAATATCATCGCCCGATTGGAAAAGTATACCTATAGTATAACATGAATCAAAGTAATTGACATAGTCGAATTGGCATTTTGGAATTTCACAGTTTTTATCTACTACTTGATTTAACTTGACTTGACTAATTATTTTAGACACTAATGAATACGTAAACTCTTTTGCCGATGCTGAATTAATTATCTTCAACAGTTGCTTTTCTTTATTGTACAACACGAGATTTATACTATCATTGGAATCTATGGTAATTGAGATTAACTCTGCTAAATTAAGCTCTTTTTCTAAACTAAGAATAAATTTTTTATCTAAATCTATTGTATATATTTCGTAATTGCAGGAATTTTCTATTTTAAAAACAAAAAACCCAAAATAAATTACAGCGTCCATGATTTCGTATATGTTTGACGATACATCAAAATCATTAACGAAGATTTTCAAGTTATGTTTTGATATTTGAGTACAAAGTGAGTTATTTGTTAGTTTAACTTGAACATCTAATACTGGATCACAAAACAAGTGATTGACTTCGGTATCAACATCTTTAATGTGGTAAGTCTTATTTTCGTCAGGTTTGGTGTTTTCTAAAGAAGTATTTTGTTGAAAATCGACTTTATATGGAACTATCAGTTTTAAATCCAAATCAGACTTATAAAAATTAATAGTTTTGTTTGTTTTCAAAACTAATAAATTACTTCGTTTCGTGAAAACTATTCCAAGCTGTGCATCTGTTTCGTTGTTATGATCAAACCTTACGACTTTATTCGCTGTTTTTAAGATTGTTTGGTTTTGTAATTTTAGCTTTAATTTGTTGTTACTTTTTTTAGCATCGTTAAGAAACAGATTATCATATTCAAGACATTTATCTAATTTATTAATGTAATATATTAAAATTTTGTTTTTCTGCAAATAGTAATAACAACCAGGACGTTCTTTAAGTATTGTTAAAAATTTATTGTTCGTTATGGTTTTCATCACGTCTTTCAGGTTAGCAACAATTTTTGTTTTATTATCAAGTCCGATCAGTAAGTGTTAAATTCATTTAATCTTAATTCAGGCGGTTTTTTATCAGATACTACGTGCGAATTCTGTTGTAAGCCAACTTATCAAGGTTGTGAAAACAAAGCTTTTAGCGCAAATTCAAATCTAGGCGTTTGCAAATATGTAGACTGCGCTAATAAAACGAGAGGGTGTGGCTGGCTTAGAACTAGTCACGTGTCAGCAGTTTATTGTAGATCCTGTACAAATTTATATAAAAAAAATAATAATAATTTAATTGGGTGTGGCAATATTTTAACGACGGGACAACTCTATTATGCAAACCTCGACAACACATGAATATTAAGTTAAATTTGTAGATACAACACTGTAAAACTTATTTTTTAAATTGCGTATAGCTGTTGCTGCTGATATACAGCTCAAAATTCTGTGATCATAAAGTACTTTGTACATAGTTAATTTGTAAATGAAAAATTTAGGATTCCTCAGATTTGGATTTATTTATGTATCTTTCTTGAAAATCTTTTCTTAAGACAAACTGAACAGGGTTCTCAAAACTGTTTGTTTTGGTGATACAATATCCGTTTCCGTCTTTATCAGCTTTAACGGGATCTAACGGTTTGATTTTTTGTTCTAAAGACATTTTATATATACAGTGAAAATCACATCTTTTTTACATGCAGCATGCTAAAAAATATTTTTCTATGTCGAATTCATTATAGCGAACACGTTGATAAAAAAATTTTGACTGTGTGTAATAAAAAATAATTATTAATTAATTTGCTATTGCATTATATTTATATTATATTGATCGTTTAGCGTGATCGCTTATTTGCAAACACAAACATTCAGCCGTGAAGCTCATATATAGAATCTATGGCTTTACTCTACGCCTATTTCTCATAGCTGGTTTTTTGTTCATCATTCATTGCATTATAACAATCTTATTTAATGGGTAAGCTAAAAAATAAAAAATTTTTCCAGAAATGATTTGGCAAAAAAATCCACAACCAGCCTCCGAACTATGACAATTCCGCGAATAGCCGTGGCAACAAGTATTTATGGTGACTCGTGCATTAATCAGCCATTCCCAGCCTTGGTTAACATCGTGATAAAGAATGCAAAACGATTAAATGTAGAAAGTATAGATGTGTCAGCAACTGAAGCCTTTATTAACAATATCTTGTTTTACCTAGCTACAATAGCATATTGTATATTTGGAATATTAACAGAAATAAGTTTAATAATATTGAGATCTTTAGATATGGCGCCTCAGGCTTGTATCATAGATTAAAACAATTTTTTTATTTAAAATAAATTTAATAAACATACTGATCAATTATTGAAACAGAACTGGGTTTTATTGTGTAAATTACAGCTTCGCCTGTTATGTATTTAATATGCATAGGTCCATTACTTTTATGGGTAAGTTAGTTCGAAAACGACGTGAATTTTAGTTTCATAAAAAATTGATAGTCAATTGCAAAGATGCGAATAGTATAAACGAATTAATAAACGGTGGTTCGAGCTCGAATGACTATAATGACAGCGTACGTAAGCAAATCAAGGTTAAATTTTATTATGTAGCTTGTGCTTGATAATATGTCATTTGACAACAGCATTATAGGAGAGAATGACGAGGTAAACTTTACTAAAGAAAAAACGTCAATTAATTGTATTAAAGATTTTAGGTAAGTTTTCCTAATTTTAAAATTGTGTTAGTGAAGACTGCCCGGAAGGGTTTATTTTTGTGAGCCCTGATATGTGTATGGAAAGTCTACCTATTGAAATAATTAGTCGAAAAATAAAACGTACTATTAAGAAGCCTCTGACGTACGAAGAAAAATTAGCTGCTGAAAGTTTGCACAACGTCAACTGGAAATGTAAGCCCGATTGCATTCCTGTACCAAATACGTGTCCGATTTCATGGGCAATAAGCTATGCTGACGGCAAAGTGTATTGTGAAGCTCCCAAAGATGGCATTGTTAAGCACTGCAAAAATGTAAGTTTTTACGCCATCTAGTTATAGATTAAAGTTGAAATCACGAATTATAGTGATTTCGAGAAGTTTGAGCTAGCATACTAGTAAGTGTAGAAAATCAAGATGTTTTAGTTGCAAAAGCCACTTTATGTGTTTGAATATTTGATAAGTTCGAACGAATTAGATTATCTTACGTTTTACAGTGATTCGTTTTGGTTTCGGAGCACTAAAAGGAATACTAGGCGAAGAATCGGATACTTTAGGCTCGACTTGTTTGGTACGTCGTTCGTCACGAAGTTTAAGAATTATGCGTTTGTAGTCCAACAGTTCTTTTTTCAAAATTTTCACAACAGAATGTAGATATCTGAAGGCGAAAAAGGTCGCGTCGGGCGAAGAACTATCAAGTTTGGACCTCAGCAACGTTTCGTCGGTTCCTTGAATCAGGCTAAAACGTTGTCCAAATATGAACTTACTCGTTGATATTAGATAATTTTTTCGATACGTTGGTCAGTTCAGCTTCAAGTTTTTTTTTTTTATGGACGAGTTTATCGAAATTTTCCGATAATTCTTTGTTCAGTCTTGACGTTTTATCGCGCTCAATTTCGATTAATTTGAGTTTTTCAGCAAGTTCAACATTTTCAGTTTTCAGCTTGTAGGCTTGCTTGGTCAAATTGCTGATTATAACTTGTTTGTCATCTTCGGCTGAAGAATCATCCAAGTTCGTAACGTGCTCAAAACTAATATGGACTTGAATGACCTTAGTGCTGGCCTTTCTGCAAAGAGGGCACGTGAAGTTGGTTTTACCTTTGACCTGAACCCATTCAAGCAAACTAACATAATATAAAATAAATTGCCTACCATTTCGAGTGAAACAAATGTCCACAATTTGACGGAACAGCTTGTGGCTTGAGAAAGTGTAATGGTTCGTGACAAATTAAACACGGCGCTAGCAGGTAACTGAAAGACATCAGATTTGTTTGTCATCTTAAGAATAGCGAAAAACTTTTGTCTGTGCAAATCACATAAGCTGCAAGGATGCGTGTTTGTTTGAATTATAATTGATGACAAATATAATAATTATTAGCCGGATATTTATTCCCAGGCAAAAAATAAATCTTATTGTTTTTGATTATTTTTTCGTTTTGTTCAGCTTTTAAACAAAAGAATGGCGTACTTTCCAGAATAAAAATAAATAAACCTCCTAGTCTCATGAGACACGTACGAACCAAAGTGTGTGCCTACGACGCAGTGCCACGAAGGTTCGTACAGCCGGTCAAATTCTTTTTTTATGAAGCTGGCAATATCTCTTTCTGTCAACATGCGTTTTAACGCTTTCTACAACTAATGGTTTACTCAAACTACTTACCCCAGCAATTTCAATAGCGTCTGAGACCATGTCATCCGGCATATCAGCAATTTTAATAACATGTTGTACTTCAGTCATAAAACTTTGTTCGAGATTCTAACAATAATTGCTGCAGAACCGATTAAAAACTCTTCAATCTTTTTTTTTTCAATTTCAAATTAAAAAGCGCTAATTTATTTTATTTATATAAAATTAAAATAAAAACGACAGACCGTTCAAACTAAATTGGCCTGGTCAGCGCTGTAAATTTAAATAGATTCATCTGACTGAGCCTAAGCGTTTTGTACGGTAAAATCTAAAAAAACATTTTATATCCATCGTCAACTATACCGTAAATGTGTTTTTCACAGACTTGTTATTTGAAAAGTCTGGATCATGACTTTATATTAAAATAAATTTTTTTTAAAATGTAAAACTGCGTATTTCATCTTTGTCAATGCTGTTATGTTGTTCGGAAAATCCACACAGCTTCTTATTTATACATTGACGGGAGGATCTGGGGAGAAACGATATTTATTAAATTTTTCAATTTTAATCTTCAGTGAATAAAAATAAATAATGATATAAGCAATAAGGTATAATTTAATAATACAAGCCAACATATAACACTCATGAAATCGGGCGCAAATGAATTGTAAGTGTCTCTAGTAAATTATTAGTAGTGATGTTTTATTCAAGATTTTATTAATAGGAGATTCAGGCGTAGGAAAAAGTAGTGTGATGATTAGATTCGTCGATGGTTGTTACAATTGTAACTTCATGAGCACGATTGGCGTTGACTTCGTAAGTTCCCGTAGATAAACGTTTAGAAAGTGAAATCAATGACGATTGACGACAAAGTGTTGAAACTTCATATTTGGGATACAGCGGGGCAGGAGAGATTCAAAACCGTGACCTCGTCTTATTATCGGGGAGCAAAAGGAGTGATAATAGTTTTCGACGTTTGTGACAAAGATTCGTTTGACCACGTCGTGACTTGGCTCGAAGACGTCAAAAAATACGCAGGCGAGAACATTATTTGTCTTTTAATTGGCAATAAATGTGATGAGCCAGAAGTAAGAATCATTTCGAAAACGGACGCAGAAGAGCTAGCTGCATTGTACAACATTCCGTACTTCGAAACAAGCGCTAAGGCCGGCACGAACATCAATGAGGCTTTCGAACTGCTCGCACGAAACATGCTTGCAGACTCCAAATTGACTGATAACCGGAGTTCTAGATCTCCAATCGATGTTGACTTAGCTAAGAAAGAAACAAGCTATTCTTGTTGTAAATTTACGTAGCATCGTATCACACGCACCAAATGCGATTTCGTCTCTTGAGCTGTTTAATTTATGGAAATACTGCGCAGACTCTTCGTTCCGGCACATAATTCAACGTATACTTGCTGCTGTGAACACGATGTTTAATTGATCCATCGATTTTCGCTGCAAACAGTGGACAACAATGTTATTTTAATCGTATTAATACATTAATTGTTCTGGTTGAAAACGTGAAAATTCTAATTATATATGAATTTTCAAATATTTGCTCGGAAACAATTTTTATTTCAATAATAGTAACTTTCCTCCTTCAAACTAATCGATGGTTTAGTTAATTCAGTGATATTATCAAACAAATAAGTTAACCAACCCTGCCGGTTAAGTACTTTGACAGTACCCTAAGCAGCTAAATTATTTTGACTAGAAGAATCTCCACAGCCCTTGTTTCAAATATTAGACTAGAAATAACTAACTGAAACTATAATTAGAATTTTTCTATATTAATCTTAAGCAGCCAGTATATTCTTTTGAGACGAGAAGATAGATAAAACACGAACAATCTGTTTGTTGAACACACGATAAAGAATTTAACTGCTCTACTGTTCTCCAAAATAAATTTTATAATTCTCACTGCTAATAAATTCGCTTAATGTATTGTAATTGAACGACCATTCAAAAGCAGAACTAATATATTTTTTTTTTCGTTAACTTACATAAGAGTTGCGTAGTTTGACTTAGTTGGCACAATTATCTGAATTGGCCAGTAACTCGGCAGCAAAGACCTCAATTCAATTAATAAGCGTTCAATTAAACCCGGTGAATCCACTAAGCCGCCCTTTAAACAAATGTTTCTTGCCATTTCTTGTTGCAAAAGAGGCGGAAGCGCTTGAATACACTGAATAATCATCTCAACAAGTCCTTGTGCAGGTTCAATGACGGAGTTATTTTTATTTAGAGACGAATCGAATGCAGTATTAGCTAAACAAAGCCCGAGTTCTCTCAAGTTGTTGTTAGTGCGTAAATTGTTGTGAGATGTTTTAACTCTGGGGTTGAACAATTGTTCGCCCAATGTGATACACTCTGGGCCAAGTATTACTACATTTGTCATCGCAGTTTTATCATCATATTCCGTGCTCATCGTCTGTAGATTGTAAATAAACAAGTTTTTCATGTCTTTAGGAATAAATGAATGTTTTTTGTTGATCATTTCTCTGCGCTCGTCACAAAGCATATTATTTTCTGTAACATAGTTTAAACTTACCCGGATACATTTTTTCATAATATCGTAAATTACAAAATCGAAAGAATGGATATTAGCTGATCTATAGTTTACGACTTCTCTAAACTCACTAAAAAGAGCCAAACCTCCGTTCATGTTTTTAAAAATTGTAGGCTCGATAATCACGCTGTCATAAGTTGGAACAACTTTGGTCGACACATTACCTATATCGACGATAAGTTTGAAAGGGCTGTCCAAAATGAGTTTTGACTCTTGATTATCAAGACAAAGATAGTGAGCAACATAATCAATAGAATGCTTACTCATGTGTTCAGATGTCACATTATATCTCGTATACTTAAGGTTTCCATTATCTTTGCAAAATTTTAGAAAACATTTATGCGCTTTTTCTGCATGATGATCGTGATAAACCTCAGAATCATTTACAGTTGACTCTTCGTATGTACTTTTGCAAATAGAAGAAGGAAAACCCCACGATGAAATCATAAACTCAGACACAACTCTGCAGGCAACAACATTTTTTTGAAATATGAGAGTTTTAACAATGGTTTTAGATACTTCCATCGGAGTACTATGAGTTTCAACAATTGTAACAATTAAATCTTTCCACAAATTTGTTGTTCTCTTAAGTAACTGTTGTAATCCATGTTCCCAAATCAATATCTGAAGCTCCACATCAGTAATAACACCAGCAACCATCGGAGAGTCTAGAATATAACCCAATCTAGCTTATTTTTGTGGTTCAAACTTACTTTAATTGCAATATTTTTTTATCAGTTAATATAAAAGTCTTATTACTGGATCTCAAACGAACTCTAAAATGCGGTTCTGCATACAAACGTACAGAAAATTAGGATACTCTAACACTGACAAGGTATTTTCCTCCAGCATCATTTTTATTGAAAAAGAACCATTGTCAATTACAATCCTCATTCCTCAAATTGAACCTTTTTAAAAACGTGCAATAAACAAGTTTCATTTATCAATAATTCTATATTTTGTCTAGGTTTTCGTAAATTTCAACAGAATCAACTTCTTACAATTGTCCTTAAATATAATAAATTTGACTTATTTAACGTATTTTTTATAATTTAGGATATTCATAGTTAGATTTTTATAAATCTAAAAAATGTAGATTCGTTGTATAAAAGTATGTCTGAACAAATTTCTCTTGAAACTTTTATCGAAACTTATGATTTTGCAACACAAAATTTTAGTGATCAATACTTATCGTCAATTTTACAAACTGAGCAACAAAAGTTGATTCTTGATAAAAACACACTCGAACTACAATCTTTTCTTAAACATAAAGAAATAAAAACGTGGTGTACTTTGCGCCAGTTGTATGACACAGCCATATCAACAACTTCGAACAAGCATTATGTAGATGAAAGTAATTTAGATAAACTATTATATAAATTTACACATGATGAATTAAATATCCTTAATGTTGAAAAACTAGAAGAAATATTTAACTATTGCGCTGACGCACTCAATGGCTCAAAAAATATAAGTCAGATCAAGTATGATAAGCTGCAATCATTACTTTTTGATATAAAATACTTAATTGCACAAAAAACGTTTGATAAAGAGAATGAACAAATAATTTGTTGGGAAGAACAAATAGCAGAAAACGAAGAACTCGACGAAAATATAAACATAAATTCGATACCAAAAAAGAATCGAATAAATCCTATTTCATTGTCTTCAATTATACATAATACAAAAAGTCACTACGAATCTAATGCTGCGCAAACTCAAAATTCTGGCACTACCGTAGATCAAAATTTTATGCATATTAGCAATATTGCAGGAAATGAGCTAAAAAACTTAGGCTCGAAAGCTTATGGAGATGTAAAATCAATAAACAAACTAATCAATTCTTTACGCAAAAAGTCTGATATTATCACGCGCAATAAGGTAAATAGTAGCGTAAATTTTCAAAACATAGCATGTAATGTAAATAAAAATGAAAACCATTTCATTTTCAGTCCGTATTACACTTCAAGTTCAATCAAGCAAGGAATAACCGGCGATTGCAGTCTTATTTCTGCTTTAGCTGCAATTGTTAATTATGAAAATCAAACTGGTCAACGACTTTTACATAAAAATATTTACCCAAAAAATTCAAACAATAAACCAATTTTAAGTAGGAGTGGGATTTACGCAGTCAAATTAAATATTTCCAACAAATTGCTCATTGTGTTTGTAGACGATCTAGTTCCCGTAAATGGTGAACGTAAACCTTTATTGTCAGCAGGAACTGGAGAAAACGAATTCTGGGTTACTATCTACTCTAAAGCATTCATGAAACTAAATAAGAACTTGAGATTAGGAAATGCAATAAATCCTGCCAATGAAATTTATCACATTCTAGGTTTTCCTTTTGAAATCGAGAGTATTACTAGAGACATTGAAGTAAATTACAAAGCAAAATTGTGGACACAACTATATAATCAGTTCAATCAATCACGCATCTTGCTAACTATTGGAACAACAAACCTTAATGACCAAGAATACTGCAACGACAAAGGGGATACGTTTTGTTTAAAAACAGGTTTAATTCGTAATCACGCTTACCCGGTGCTAGATATGTTCGAGGTTGATGGTTTAAAATTATTTAAAGTGAGAAATACCTGGGGAAAATGTGGTTCGAGGAAAAATATTAAAAAATATTGTTATACAGTTAGCAAGTCTATTCTTATGTCATGCAAATATTTTTACGATATACATGATGAAGCGATCTTTCTGATAAACTTTGATCTAGTTGTAAAATATTTTTCATATATTTACATTAATTGGAACGTAGACTTTTTATCCCATCAGCTTGTAGCGCACTTACCATTTTTGTCCTATGATTCGACAAAAGACGATAATATTCCAGTTGAACTCGATGTCCAATATCCCATACTAAATCGTCAATTTGTAGTTAGTGTTGCTGGTCCATCTTCCAAAGCAGTTATTTTTATTGTTTTAGCAATGAATTATTTAGAATGCAGCGAAAAATCAGAAGTATCAGTTCCATATAAAGCTTTTCACGTGTCACAATCTAGCAAAATTAATTTTGCACTGAATAATTGTGAATTAGGAAATTATTCAGACGCTGAACTTATAATGCAAAAAGTAGTTCTAAGCGATCACAGCGAGAATAATCAAATAATTTCTGAAAAAAATCCTAGGCTTTGTTATAGCCAGAGTGAAGCATTAGTAGCATTGAATTTCAAAAATACTTCACAATTAAGCTTTTTAATCTCTACATTAAAACCTTCCAAACTCTACAGCTACGCTTCATCTTTGAGGATATATTCTAGTAAAAAAATTTCATTAATTGAGGTTACCCACGACATATTAAAAACAAATAAAGGAGTGAACATTTCAGGTCATGATGCATCTTTTGAAAAAGATATTAAAATTTTATCTGTTGAGAATTCGACCTTTCCGTGGCGTGCACTTTCTTACGTTTGCTCAAACGAGAAAAAAATATTAGACTTTTATATGCAAAGCAAAATTGGGGAAAACATATTTTTAGACATATACTCAGTTTCCTTCGACGGTAAAAAAATATCATACAATGCGTATCAACGAGACATTTACATGGCTTTGAACATTGCTCATTTTAATCTAAATTACAACGATTTTAGCTTGTTTTTACTTTGTGCATCGGCGAACGAGAAATGCCACTTGAAATATACGCATTTAAGTAAACAAAAAGAAGGCGCTCCTGTGTTTATCAATCGAGCAGAACTTACTAACAAAGCACAAATTCACGATCAACGAATTTTATCGTTGGGCAGTATAAACACTCAGTTTTACACGTTAGAGTTAGATTCTCTCAAGGTCGATATTGAATTTTATCAACTGCAAATTTATTTTGAAATAAAACAGTCACATGCAGTAGCTTTGAAAGCTAAAAAAAACAATTACTTGGTTCATTTATACAGCATTTCAATGAAAGAATTTGAAAAAAACAGCAAACTTGGACTAACTTGCGAAAGTAAAAAACGGTTTAAAAAAACCAAATTAGAAAAATGCACATCAATCCATAAGATAAACACATTCCACCTGAAAAATGCAAACAAGTCAGAAAACGTAAATACATCGCACATTAGTGATGAATTAACACTAATTATCAGCCCACGCTTATTTTACTTCATCGAAATTGAAAATACTAACGTGATAAATTTAGATGTCGCAACAAGCATGATTATCAACACAAAGCTCGAAGCGATTTTCTAAAAATGTCAATTTTGCATGTTTAGTGAAAAAACGGAGTCAATACAAAATTAAAATTAACCGAAGTACGTAGAACGAAGTCGAGGCTTATTTATATTAATAGTATAAAACAATAAAAAGAAAGTAAATAAATTATTATTACAATAGTTTTGGTTTTCCAAAAAATCTTTAATTACTTCTGTCAAGAAAAAGCTTTATCTTATAAATTTCAACGTGCCCGCATCAATGCAATGCGATAATGTAATTTGGGATTGTTGTGGAAAGCTGTTTTGCTCTTATAAGTCCAAGTAAGTTGTGTACAACGTAACGAAATTCAGGTTCAAAACAACAGTACTATGTAAAAACAAGTACAATGTAACAGGGCTTTGCACTAAGTCCAACTGCCCTTTAGCTAACGGATACTATGCAACAATTATAGAAGATAATGAAAAATGTTATCTTTACCTGAAAACACCAGAAAGAGCCAACACTCCAGCTAAAATGTGGGAAAAAATCAAACTTGATGCAAACACAGTAGAGGCCTTCAAACAGATTGACCGATCGATGAAAAACGTGTATAAAGAATATTTAATCCAGCGATGTAAACGCAGATTGTGTCGTATTCGCGAATACTTACAAAAATCGCGGGCACTCGCAGAAAAAGAACGTCCAGTGCTTGTTACAGAGTCGAAAAAACTAGCGAAGAGAGAAAGTTCACGAGAAATTAAAGCGCTTCGGGCTGCGAAAATCACCACTAATTTAGAGCAAGAACTGGTCAAACGACTTAAATCTGGTTACTATTCAGAAATTTATAACTTTAATAAAGCTCAATTTGACGAAGTTCTCGACGAAGCGAACGATCAAAATGACATGTTGGAGGATCTTGAAACTGAAGAATTCTCAGAAGATGAAATACTTGAAGAAAATATTGAAATTGAGGACTTGTGAAGATTTAGTACAGTCATCACGTCAAAGAGTTGAAACTCTTTGCGAACTCTTCAACTAAAGAGTTTATTTCTAATAGCTGCTGAAACGTGGTTTTATATTCGGCAACTGTAAATCCTGACAGTTCCCTGACCATGTTGTATTTATCATCGTGGTCGCCGATAATATTGCTAACACTTACTGGATTAACAATAAAATTTGAATTTTTTTGTATGCACATGTAAATTTCATCGAGTTCTTTATTTATGATATCGATGTTTGCTAAATAGAATTAAATGAAATCGACTTACATCCCATCGCTCTGATGGATTCATATGTTTCAATACTATCACTCATTTTTGAACTATAAATTCCCTTTTTTGAAAACTAATGAGTGACAATAATTTTGACAACACGAATAAATTTTTAAATTCATAAAAGAAATAATAGTGTAATGGATTTTGGAGGAGATTATTTTTTATGGAAAATCGACCAAACTTTTTTCTTACTGAATGGCGAAAATAATAAAAAAATTTCCAAAAAGTTTGTGTGCCAGAATACGTCGGGTGAAACGCTGACATGGTGGGAAATAATATTGAAAATTCAAGAAATAGATGGTTTGAAATATGTGTCTTTATTTTTAATAACCAACATATATTATGAGAACTATCATATGTGCATTCAGAGATGTTTGCCACGCTATCAATGTTACATGGTCAATTCAAACGATATAGAGGTTTCATCACTGTCAGACGTGTGGCTGCCATCTCTGAAGCAAAACGAGTGTAGAGGTAGCGATGTGTTTTTACTGTACGATGTCTTGCTGGAACAGCTACAAAACCTGACGCAGAAATACATTGTTGTCAAACTTCAACTACAGTATCGCAGTTCATTGGGGAAATACTACGGGCTAGACTTAGGGCTTTTTGGCTGTGATCGAATTGTGAGTTACTCCATTTTAGGAAAAACATTTCAAGCAAGTAGCAACTACTTTGCCAGATCGAACTTGATAACTAAAAGCACCTATAATGCATTCCATAAGCCCTACTTTTCTTTCGACGAATGTGTTTCTGATCAGACAAGATTTTTGCTCCGAAACAGATTTAACAGCGAATTTACCATTGAAAAATTTAATAGCTACTTACTAGCTTTCTTGATCTCGCCGTGCGAGAGCAGGCTTTTCTTACTGCCAACGAGTGGGCTACTCTATATATTGGAGTTGTTTGATTATCACCACATGAATATCTACACAGACATTGTGACGTCTGCAATCAAAAACAGAGTTCCTAGGCTTAAAGATCTGATAAAAATCAAAATGATAGTTCGGCCTTCTATTGTGTTATTCAATCTAATGTTTTGGTCTGTTGTGCTTGTTGCATTCAGGAAACGACAAGTTGAGCCGCGCGAGTACATTTTGCTGCAAGAGTTCTTTGTTGAAGAACAATTTGGACCCACTGTTTCACAAAAGTCAGAAAAAATAATATTGAGTTTTTTTAATCGCTCAATCAAAAACAAACTAGCAATTAATCTCAACCATCACGAAACTCCTGGTTCAATATTAGAGCAACATGTCAGTTACGAAAGCTTCAACGCAACCGCAGCCTAATTAAATAGAATTATTTTTTAATTAATACAAGGTAAATGGTTAATTATACCACTTCTGTAATTCGCGCTGGCATATGTTACAACCAATCTCTTCTCATATTAAAACAAAGAATAATGTATATTCGATTTTCGGTATGTAAAATCGTATAAATATTGTAGCTTCCAACTTAAGAGGCGGGATAGGTTTTAAAAATCAGCTGCCTTGGAAAATTAAAAAAGACCTCCAGTTTTTTCAATTTATAACGACGAACTACCAAAAAAAAAACTGGAAAAATACTTTGATTTTGGGAGCTAATACTTTAGCTTCGCTCCCAAGTCAAATAAACGACAGATCTATCAAAGTTCTATCTCAAAAAAAAAAAGGACAAAATTTCTACTCGTCAATTCCAAACTTGTTATTTGAGAACGATAATTCAACTCATTTTGTTTGTGGCGGAGCTTCCATATATGACGCGTTTCACAAACTAAAAATACCAAGATTAGTTTTTTGGACTAGAGTGAATTCTAGTAACCCAACCGATACAAAGGTTGATTTAACTGAAATGTTGAGAAACTACAGAGTTGTTGCTCTTACTAAAACTGCAAAAGACAATAACATTCTTTATGACCATTGTGTGTTAGCTAACAAATCTTTATCTTCGTTGGAGTTGTCGAAAGAGTTATCAAATATTAGAAAGTTAAAGTATTTCAATCAAATTAAAACTAACGACTCATCATACGAAAATTTAGGTGACTCTAAACCATTTCAAGATTATCCCGATCCGAGTTTATTACAACACGAGGAGTTCCAATATTTAAAACACGCTAACGATATTTTAAAAACAGGCTCGAGATCTAATAACCGTACTGGGATAGATACATTGATGAAGTTTGGACTAGTCATGCGTTACGACTTAACGAGTTCTTTTCCATTACTAACTACTAAAAAAGTTTTTTGGAACGGAATTGTTAAGGAATTGCTATGGTTCCTTAGGGGTCAAACTGATTCAAAAATTTTAGAGCGAGATAATGTCAATATTTGGAAGGATAACGCTTCGAAGGAATTCTTGGAAAAAAGAGGACTCAAGGACTACCAGGAAGGAGACCTAGGTCCCATTTACGGCTTTCAATGGAGACACTTTGGAGCTGGTTATAAAAACTGTCACACGGATTATTCCAACAAAGGTATTGATCAGATCAAAAACTTAATCGAAATGATCAAAAAAGATCCCACATCCCGTCGGCTTATTGTTTCAGCTTGGAATCCCATGGCAATCGACAAAATGGCGCTTCCACCGTGCCATGTATTGTCGCAATTTCACGTAGATGCGGTCAAAAAAGAAATCTCATGCGCATTGTATCAAAGAAGCGGAGATTGGGGTTTAGGTGTTCCATTTAATATCGCATCATACGCACTACTTTGTCATATTATTGGAAAACTCACTGGTTACAAACCAAAAGAGCTCGTTCATTTTGTGGCGAACGCGCATATTTACGCGAACCACGAAGATTCGATTCGATCACAGTGCAATAAAGTACCGAACCCATTTCCAGAAATCCAAATCAATCACATTGACGACATTGCCGATATTACTAGTAACGATATTAAATTGCGTAATTACGTGCCGAAGAAAGCGATAAAAATGAGTTTTGTTGTATAAAAACGAAAGCGCACTTTTGGCTTACATCACTCGTGTTTTTCTCTTTAGAGTAATTAATGGTGCATAAAATAATATAAACGAATACATATCAAAGCAATGAATGTCTTTGATTCAATCGGATATTATGGAAACAATAATTCATACAGACCTATTCCAGACCAGAACCGTAAGTCAGTTGAGGAAAGTTTGAAAATTTAAAACTTCACTCTGGATTTTTTTTTATACATTTTAGATTATTCGCAACCAGTACTTGTCGACACAGTTTATTACAATGACGCTATAGCTCGAAAAAACGAAGAGGAATTTCGTTATAAAGTTAAACAGTTTGACTTCGCAGTGGCGCTTTTGCCACTGATTTGCTTTTTAGCAAACCCTATCTTTTGGATTTTACTTCTCTTTATAATTCTTTATTTTGTACTGATCCGATAACTTACATTTTTTGCAACCCAAAACAAAGGTGCTAAAATTTTGGTCCAAAAACATGTATCTGGTTGTTAAGTTTGAAGGTCCTAGTAAGAAAATGATCAAATTTTCATGCTTCTGTAACAACTATGACGTGTGAAAAAAATGATGATATATACAATGCTGACTTGACTGCACTTAAAATGAGTTGCATACAACTTTGTTTGAGAAAACAAATAAAGCCATTTCTAGAACGACAGTACGAAAACAATGGTCAAAATTGTTTATTGATCGAATCGTATAAAAAATTAGTTTCTGATATATCCAGACATACATGTCAAAAAAAATCTAACTGTATTTCTCAGAAGTATCAAGTTACGATCAACAACTCAATGGTAGTTTGGTATTTACCAGTTACCTTTTTAATGAAAAATTACCAAAAATACAAAGAAGACGAATTGACAAAACTTTTTAAAAATGCTTTTATAGGCTTATGCTCAAATCTACTACATGGATCGGATAAGCTCGATATAACCTCAGAATATGACATCAAAGGAATGGTGTTAATTGTTGTTTTTGATCAACAAACTCTAAACAGCTTTAACTTCTATCACTGCAAAAGAATTTTGAAGGTCTTGACTCAGTTTATTTGTAGTCTAAACAAAACACTTGTGCAGCATATGATCTTGGTCGGATTTGAAGCATTATTGGATTTCAGATGGGTGTTGTTAGAAGGCGTATATAACAATTCAGTTGAAAGTTTGACCGTTAAAATTATAGAATTCACTGCTGATTCTTTTTTTTCTCAATTCACAATGAATCCGTCTTCGAGCTTGGATATCTCTTTTAACTTCAATTTTTCATGGTTTTTTACCAAATATAAACACGACCTGGACCCATGTCTAACTGATTTACTGCTTGATTATTATGACAATGAAGTGAAAACTATTTTATCCGGACCATTAGCCGAACTCAGGTAAAAATTACGGTCTGGAATCTATATGTTGTATTAAATGAACTGATGTGTGTGTCATAAAAAGCAAAATAAGTATTTTTCAAAATGTCAATCTAATATACGATGAGTGTTGTTTTACGACAAGAAAGGACTTTATTTCAAATCAAATAAAAGTTTTTATGGCTCATCAAATATATTCTTTAAAAAATAGAATGCACAATGATTTAAATAATTTTAAGTCTGAACCTGATATAAACACCTCTAAAACAACAAGTACCCAAAGTTCGAAGTCACTAGATTTCAATACTGAATTTGGTTTTCTTCATGACTGTAATCGACTTGCAGAAATAATTGATTCAAACAAAAAAAACTCGCAAGTACAGATGCTGAATGAATATAATCTTGAACTTAAAAATCAATTGCTAGATATGTCTAAATTTTTGAAAGACTTAAAAAAGCGATACAAACTTGTTATGGCTGAATATGAAAATGTTTGTCAAAATTATATCACTTTAGAAAAGCTACACGAAAAATTATACAGAAAGTACCATAATTTAGTAAAAAAATTCCAAATTTCTTCTGAAAAAACATCCAAATCTACGCAAACTAGCGAGAAAAAATGGTTGACGTTCGACAGCACAGTAAATCTCGTTTCAATTACTCCTTCTAATGTGTTAGAAAGCACACTAACCACTGAACAAACTTCCATCCTTCGTTACAAGCAGAGATCAATATTTTTCGAAAAACAGTTTAGCATACATAAAGATTTGATGTTATATTTATAAAAATGTTGGCAATTGTATACCAAAACAGCTATTCTATTTTTTCATTGTTTACTATTAAACTTTTTCAATGTTTCAACACTGTATTACTTTAAATAGGCTGAATCGAGAGCGTCGGTGTAAAGTTTTTTTTTAAAGTACCCACTTCGAAGTAATATATCATTTTCGTTAATTTCCATTATGTCAAGAAGTGTAAACAAGTCACCCGAGACTTCGTCAATTGATACCCCGCTACGATACTTATTATCAATGATGTGCAATCGAGCAAATAATTGAAACGTGAATCGAGAGACAATAGCTTTTATTGCGTCAGCCAATTCTAAATAGAAGTCCTGATGATACTGGATTATTTCTATTTTTTTAACATCTACCTGTTCTATGATTTCGCTTAGCCCGCCGATTTTTCCAACTTCTTCTTCTTCAGTCCCAGAGCCTTTAATAGGTGGGTTTACTATGATTTGCGTTTGGTTGGGATGATTGAACAATTTTTCTCTTTTAATCTCGTTTTTAACCAATCGTTTAATTAACATATCGGCTTGAGTTTGAGTTGAGATTGCTTGCTCCAAAACTTTGTCTTGTTTCTTTAGGGTTTCGTTAATATGTTTGATGTCATACTCAGTATCAAAACCTGATTCATGAGACGTGTTACTCGAATCAGACAGTTTTTCTATTTTTTCTACGCTTTTATTTATATGGTTTCCGTCATATCCATGTGAATAATGAAACGAAACGAGTGGTACTAAAGACGGCGGTTCTTTTAGTTCGATTCTAGTTTCCTTTTTTGGGACCGGGCTATTCTTGTCATCTGTACAAAATACCAGCCCTAGTCCGATGAACACTAAACTATACATGTGTTATAAATCTGTTCTCCAAGTTCAATTATTGAAGAATATACACGAAAAAAGTTAATCTAAATAATAGACAATTATATATTTATAAAATTCCATTAGTGAACCACTGGTAGTTGTCGTACTGTGATGAACGCCAGTTTAAAATAGAATTTTTAATCAATAAATCAATATTGGATAAACACTAAAAAGGATAGCGTTACAAAAACTTACGTCACCTGTAGTCTGATTGAGAAATAATCTTTTTTCCATAAGTTTGATCACAGTCGCAGGACTATGATTGAAACACGAAAGTTTTTCCACTAAAAAAATTACTATTATGCTAAAACGTACACCCAAGCATCATCTTCACCATAAGCAACAAGTGTTGAGCATTTTTCCTCATTTCGACAAATCCTTTGAAAATTAATTCTTTAAACAAGTCAAACCCTGCTGAGTTGACCCCGCCCATAACGTCTAATATTTCGCTTGTCAGCTTGAACGGCGCAGTCTCAAAATTTACGAAACCGGGAGAACTGTAAAAGATATAACTATAGTCTATATGTATAACGCTTCCACTTTTGGTTAATAATATATTACCATTGTGACGATCCTTGACTGCACATAAATACGACAGAAGAGAATAAGCAGCGTGAGACAGGATAAACGATGTTCTGGCTTCCTGTATTGTATCAGCAAAAGCCAAATTGAAGACTTCAGCAATGCTTGTTACTTTTAATTTTTGCTTTAGCGCGTCAAAAGACTGTGTATTTTCAAAATATTGAATTAAGCCACAGTTATTGTTAAAGACGAGGATATCGCTATTTATTATTTTTAAAGGTAGATTTGCGGTTTGAAAAATCTCGTTGAGAATACTAATTAATTGAGATACAATTTTTTCTTGTCTAATATCATCATTAGATTTAACAATGTACGCTACGAGTTTCCATGAATGATAATTTTTGTAAATACTTTGGTTTCTGATTTTTTCCGTAAGTTTGTTCCAGTCAACCGGCCATAAAGCTTTACGGAGCTCTGGAGCATTTTGTTTTTTAAGATGGTTAGTACCTTTTAAATATTTGCTGAGGTCTGTGTCCAGATAAGCGTTATTTTTTACTAAGTTATAGACATCGGGTATTCGGTTCATGACAAAAGGAACTTCTAACGAAGTCAGTTTGGGTTCACCTGTTTCTTCGTTTTTCTTGTTTAACCAAGCAACAAGCGTTTGTAAAATTTTGAATTTTTGTATTGTAGGGGCTAAGTCGGTCTTTTGCGATTTATTAAGCGTATTTAATAAATTCTCAAGCTGTTGAATATCTGGATTAACTTTAAATTCTTTCTGTTTGAGCAACCTGTTTTCAAACACGTTGACACGTTTGGAAGTTTCGTTATCGTAAATAATTTCGTTTAAATTTACCAGCTCAAAAATTATCAAAATTGGGTTGCGTTTCTTGGAGGAAAAAAAATTGGATTCGTCAAATTGAACAGAAACAATAGAAAGAAGATCATCGTTGTTACTTTTGAATATGGGTCTAATTTTGTTATTCAGCGTAAGTGATAACCGACCCGAGTTGTTGTATAACAAAAATCTATTTAAGGGCAAACTAATTCCATTAATTTTTTGAAGAACAGGGTTTGAAACACGAAAATAGTTATAAAAGAACAGCCAAGTATCGAGCAGATACAGACTAGTAGATAAGATATACTGTTTTTCGTATTTAATTTGACAGTGAGAAAGCACTTCTGTAATTAGAATAAGGTACTTGACAAATTTATCGATTGTGTCAAACTGATTGCAGCGTTCTAATTTTTGTAAATATACCATATCATATTCGTTATTGTTTTGCAAATAATTGTATGCTTGTACAGAGAAGTAGAATTCGGTGTTCAGCAATCTGAAACATGTGGGCACTTTCTGTTTTTTAGAGAGCAGATGAATGAACTGGGGAAAGAATTTGTTCAAAAGGATCTTATACCCCGCTCTAATTGACTTGCTATTTGACTTATTAATAGCAAAAAACTGCTTGCCTTGTGTACTATTATCAAGTGGAGTTAGGTTTTCATGACTTCGTGATTTCTTGATGTTTGAAGCTGGAGTAAGTTCGAGGCTTACATTAGTTTCGCTGTCGTTGCAAGAATCGGGAAGAGTTTTTCGATTAGTCGAAATTACATTGTTTACACATCTCATTAATACGGTTTCAGACAAAGCTTCTGCAAATTTATCATAGCTCGACCCTGCATCGTTGGAGCAAGCATCAAAGTACCAATAGAAAAGTAACGCGTTAAAAGTACTAGCCTCGCAAATTTCTAAAAGTTGAATTTTAAGCGTTGAGTTTTTTGTAGTTAAAAGCAAAACACACAATTGAGGGAAATAAAAACGGATTTCTTGTAAACTTCGTGTTTTTAATAGACTATACAACGAATCTGATTTTTCGTCATTACTCAAATGCAAATAATATAAGAACCCTTCGATATCGTTATTGATAGAAGTCATATTTGAAACATCTAAAAATAAGTTAACGCCATACAAAAACTGACGCTCAGAAATGTATACTTACTATTGTTTTGTATGCCGTTGGTTAGATCCTCATATTCATGCATCTAGAATATAAAAACGTTGAATCGAGATTTTTATTATTTTCAGCAATCAGTTGAATAGATTCAAAGAAATTACATCAGCGAGGACGCACAAAATAAAGGGCATAAAATGAATTTATTTGAAAAAGATCGCAATTTTTAAAAAAAAAAAACATTCATTTATTTATCGCAAACAAAGGGTTGGCTGGCTTAAAAAAAAAAGCCGAGAACTTTACCACTTTGGCCTAACTTTTGAGCTTGAACGTGATCCATAATTCCTTTAGAAGTAGTCAAAACAACGTATCCAAATTGTCGCGATGGCAGAAGACGGTCACTAAGTTTTGGAAGTTCCTCAAGAGTAATATCGTATCTAGGACTGATGACACCGCATTTGTTCAATCTTCCGAGTAAGTTAACAACAATTTTACCGTTGCGACCATCATCAATGATTTCAATCTGACCAAGGTAACCTTTCTTTTGCATTAAACGTAAAATGTGGACTAGCACTTTTGAGGTAGGTCTGAGAAGAACCTGTTTTTGACCTCTAGTTTCAGCATTTACTATGCTTTTTAAAGCATCTGCAATAACATTCATTCGAGTCATGGTAGCGAAAGTTCTTCCAAATTGAATTCTTATTAACCAAAATTGTTGTTTTTGTCCCGAATAAATTTTTATTATTTTTATAAAAATAAATTTATCCGCGTATTATCCTAGTTTAATAAAATATTTTTAAATAAAATTACCATGAATTAAAAGAAATACACTAATCAGATTACTATAATTTTTAACAAGAATTTGTTCAACTAATACGCTTACAATGCTCGCTAAATACTACCATTCTGCTGAGACTCGTAAACTAAAAACATCTAAAAAAAATGTTAAATTATTATTATCACAACTCTTTAAATCGTTCTCATCAGCTGAAAATGATGAAATTAAAAGCATGTTGGAAGATTATTTTAGTTTGGAATATAGTGTTCCTTGGAGCATTGTTATAATTAAACATAAGGTTGACCGTTTGTCAACGGAACTGACGTTCAGAGAGCAGATTTCAATGGCAGTTCACATTATAAATACAGCTTCAAGTAAATCCAACTTGACGATATTTAAAAACAAACTCTATAGTTTACCTGAAATATCTGCACTACTTATTTTTTGTTTAGAAAAATTGACTTTGTTTTACAAAGATTCAACCTATCTAACGCATGAATGTTTAAAAATTCTTAATGCACTACTCCTTCACATTGATAAGCCATTACTTTTTCCACATTATGTAGATAACATTATCTCTATTACTAAAGAGCTGTGTTTTTCACCGTGCACACCACTTAACAATAGAATACAATTGTTTCATATACTATGTTGTTTAGACCCTAACTTAATTAAATCCTATTTAGTCAAACCATGTTCAGCTTTATCGATTTCACAAATAGACGATTTAAACGCTTTTTTGTATAAAATGGTTTTTAGTTACGCACTCCCTAAACCTTCACACGAATTCATTAGTAGTATAGAAAATTCTGTTGTGCCACAGCTGAAAAACAGTACTGATGCGATTATTTTTTCATATGCTAATTTATACAAATTGGTAAAAAAAATGAAAAACATAGATTTGCATATTTATGGATCTTGTGCTAACGGATTTTCTCTTCAAACAAGTGATTTAGATACAGCGCTTAGTGTAGATGATACTCTTCGAGCATCAGTGTTTGAAAAAATTAAGCAAGATTTAAAAAAAAATTTTCCTGATTTTAACATATTTCCAGCAAAACATAATTCATCGCTTATTCCAAAATTATGTAATAATATCAACGATCGAATAAAAGACAGCCATGTACACATTACTTCTGTTTGGATTAACAGAAAAATAGCTTGGTTAATTAAACGTTTCTTAGCTTGGGATTTGGTATTAGTTGAGTCTGCATCCATCCCTATAATAAAAATAGAGTGTTACGTCCTTAAACAAAGCCCAGAAATTTTTATTAATTCTACTTTGAACAGTGAAGAAGATTGGACTTGGCTGGAAAAAATATTTCATCAACTAAATAATCCTACCAACCTATGTTTTAACTACAAAAACTTGTCTTACACGAGCACGTTCAATTGTCTTAAAACACTTTTGATTCTTAGAGATTCCTTGGGTGATACGAATCTTACTCTTTCAGCATTGTTTGAATTAATTGTATCATCGAGTAAATTTTCGAAATTGATCGATAAAAAAAATAATAAAACTATTAAGATGCTGAAAGAATACGTTTTCACTGTTTTTGCAATTTTAATGGCTAACGATATTGTTATAGAAACCATGTACAGCTACTGGACCCCAACGTTCACAATTTCCGTAAGCCACGAAATATTATCAGATTGCAAGAAGATGTATCAAAATAAACTTTCTATCCGGTTGATTGAATTTACTAGTACGGTACTAGAATCATATTGGACTAAAAACGTGCAGGGAAAATCCACTTCTCAAATTTTATTTTTTCTGTCAATAAACAACTCAATCATTCTTGACTTTATTAGTGACTGTCCAGTCCACCTAGATATAAAAACATACGGGCTCGCTAAAACGTATAAAAAACTTTTATGGAGCTATTCGAAGTTTGAGAAAAATATTATTAATAAATTAAACGACTATTACTCTATTAAAATTGATATTTCATCTTCTTATCTCATAGGTTATTATAATTCGCAGCTACTTAGATCTTATTGTGCATTCGATCCAAAAATTTCAACACTTGGTATTCTGATAAAAATTTGGGTTAAACAAAACAAAATTAATTCAGCCATAGATGGATTTTTTTCTTCTTATCAATGGATTTTGGTAGTAATTAATTTTTTACAGCGCTATTGCTGCTTACCTTTTGATACAACGGAGCTACAAAATACACCTCCAATGAAATCCGCTTTTTCAATAAAAATGCATGAGCATGACTATCCGTTTGCTTGCGATACAAAAATCGTTACGCAAAAGGATATGAAGCCAAACGTTTATTTACCAATTGCACCCAATCTACAATTTGCTAATATAGACCAAATATACAAAAACAATAACATAAAAAAATCTAAAAATAAAGTAAATGTCACTAGCCAAAAGCTGGATTCACAATTATTAATAAAAAGTTTTGAAGGAATGTCTAACTGCTCTTTTTATAATAGTGTAGAAAATGAAGTATTCAACACACCGCCAAAATTAAGCGAACATTCTATTTACCAACAAACTATCACCTTGCTTTCGCCAATTTTTCGATTTCAAGATTTGGAAAATAGAGAAAAATATGATACTGAACTTGAAAATAATACCAATTGCGTTACTTCCAATAAAGATTTCATTTATCGACCCAAAGAAGTTTTGAACCACTGCATATCTTCTATACCTCCGAAATTATTATTGAAGGAATGTGATGATAATCACTGTTCTTCTTGCATTTCATGTTGGATGCTTAAACTTCATTACACGAAAGAATCAACATTGTCAAGCAATGTATATCAAGAGAATACAAGTATTACTACTGACCACATATACTCAACAAAAGATATAACTAAATTCTGGCTAGCTAAAGACAAATG